TTATTATTAAACAAATTTGGAAAAAATGAGACAGCTAGGGCTTTAGGATTACACTGATGTTTCAAGCAGAGATAAAAGGCGAAGTAGCTCTGTACTTCTCCTCACCTTTAATGGCCTCTTTCAATAAATATTTATCGCGCACCTACTAAGTGCCAGGTACTAGTCTAGGTCCTGGAATTGAACTGGTCAACAAGACGTACAAAGACTTGGCTGTCATAGCACTTAGACTTTAGTTAGGGGAGGGTAGACCAGAGACAAATACACTTTAAGATTTTTCTGGACGTTACTATGCTACAAGGAAAATAAAAGAAGCTAATATGATAGAGAATGACTGTTGAGGAGGGACTGAAGAATGTGATTCATAGAAGATGACATGTGATCTGAGGAATGAATGGCCAGAGTGAACAAACCATGAAAAAAACCCTTGGGAAAGAGCTTCCAGGAAAAGGATACAGCAGTGCAAAGATCCTGAGGGGGTGGAAATTAGCAAGAAATCCAATATTCCTAGAACTCAGAGGGAGCCAGGTCAAACTAATCTGCTAGGAACAGGAAGATGATGGTGCCCTAGGATTACTATGAAGGGGAATCTGGAAATACGCTCCTAGCTGTCATGGAATTAAAGAAGTTTTTGTATTTTTTTTTTAAAGAGAGAGAGTGAGAGAGAGAGAGAAAGAGAGAATTTTTAATATTTATTTTTCAGTTTTCGGCAGACACAACATCTTTGTTTGTATGTGGTGCTGAGGATCAAACCCGGGCCGCATGCATGCCAGGCAAGCGCACTACCGCTGGAGCCACATCCCCAGCTCCAAGTTTTTGTATTTTAAATGTTAAACAAACACTTCTCTTGTTAAAAGTAACCACCTTATTGTAACTCCTTATCCATTAAAAAACAGTACATTTCTTGATTCCTTTTGTTTGATGCTTTGTGGCAATGACTTCATCAGCAGCAGCAGATCACATTTTGTAATACCTGCTCACTGAAAATTAGCTCACTTTGAATTTCATTGAGATCCAAATGGTCTATCAGGCATTGGATTATTCCAGTGCCATCAAATAGGGTCTAACGAATGACATAAACTTGTCTATGAATTTTCTAAAAGGGGAATTCTTATTCCATATATTTTTTAAAAAGTTATATGACATGTTCCTTTATTTCGGCTTTGGATAATTAAAAAAAATTCTTGCATTGATTTGTTTTATCATTCTAACTGGACATCTAGGATTAATAGTGATAGTACTAGTACCATTACCTCTAAGCCGTTTTGATTTGTCTGAATAACTGAGTGCCTAAGGAAGGAAAGAGCCAAGGACAAAGCCATGGTTTTGGTAGGTGTGAAATCTACCCCTGGGGGCTACTCCTGAGGCGGGGAGATAGCTGCTCAGCTTCAGCCCCCATTGATCACTCACAGCCCTTTCATAAGTCATCTCAGAAAAGGGCAGTCCATGTGACTATGGGCCTTCTGTGATAAGGCCCTGTCCACTGGAAAGGGGAATCTGCTCACAATTTCATTTCACAGGGTCCACCAGATGGCAAATGACTTTATCTACCCCGACCAGATCCAGACTGGGAACTGAATTGCATTCTATGTCCCCATACACTCTGCTACAAGACTTGGATCTGTCTTTTGATAGTTGCTAACCAAGTGTGTGTGTGTGTGTGTGTGTGTGTATGTGTGTGTCTATGAAAGAGTGGTGGGGGTGGGAGAGGGAGAGAAAGAGAGTTTGGTTATCCATTATGCTACAGTTCTAAATGCAGAAGTTCTCACAACCATGAAAAATTTTTTTCCCAATTATATCTGGCAAATCTAGTTAGAAATCAATGGCTTCCCAAAAATAAAAACTAGGATAGTAATGGCAGAATACAGATACAGTAGCTGCAGTGATGGACATCCAACAAGATGTAAATGAGTTGATGGAATATTTGTGGGAAAAAGGTCTGAGAAGAGGATTGAGAAAGACTAAGAGAAAAACGAAATGCCTTCATTATTCAAGAAACTCTGAGTAACCTTCATTTAGTCACACTGGAATTACAATTGCAGCTCACATCATTTGTGAAAGAGGAAATAGGGAATGTGACCATGGAAAGTGGTATTTTAAGCTCCAACACATACCGCTCATCACTGACTTGACTTGCAGGGTATCTTTCAACCAAAAAAAAAAAAAAAAAAAACCACATAGTGATTTAATCTCAACAGTAATTTAGTCTGAAGCCATATGAGACAAGACTATCATTGCAGACAGGCTGTAATTTGTAAAATTCAGGTGCTGGGGATTAGGACCACCTGTTGAATTTAATCTTGGAGTTATAATGTTAATACCATCATATAACTGAACATAAACACTACATATTTATCAGTCTTTGGGACCTCCAGCTATGGAGATGTGAACCGTTTCCTAAATAGTATGTGTAACTCTCTCAAGACTCTGTAAATCAATGGCAAATAAAAAGTCTGTTGGAATTCTGATTCAATATGCAGCAGCATATGGCTTCGTGGTCATCACATTCAGCAGATCCTATAATTTTTCTGAGGCCTGATGTGAGAGTGAAAAAAAAAAAAGCAATCTGAGTATCATCTGGCAATATAATAAGAATACGAAGGCTTTCATTTCTTACCCTCCCTGGTGTTAATCATGGAAAACAATTCTTAGCAATATTTTGACAAATGATTTTCGCATCTGCCTAAGAAAGACTATAAGAAGATGTCAAACAAAACCTAATAAAACAGCAAGTTTTGGAGTAGACATAAAAATTTTACACATGCACCTTCAGATGGCCAAAGGAAATGCAACTCTGCCTAATTTCCAGCCAGCTAAATAGTAGCAGTAAAGAGGTTCGGTGAATACATTTTGAGCAGAAGTTATATTTAGTTCTGTGGGACAATTTGGGATATTGAGTAAAGAGAAAATATGGATTTTAAATTTGGATTTGTTCCTTTGCTTGGAACAGGGTAAACTTCCTTGAGAACTTGGATATGGAATTTTGTGATATGTTGGTTTTCTATGAAAGAATTCTCCCATTGATAATGATAATGATTTGCATAGAAGATCTTTTTCTTGCCAAGAATTCCAAAGATTTTCACACAATATTTATCATTCACATAGCACTTCACAGTTTATAAAATTCTTTAACTATAAATTATTTATTTTTTTCATGTAGAGTTTCAATGCTTCTTCCAAAGTAGAAAAGGGATGTTCTTAATTTTAACTGTATAAGGTCTGATACATTGAAAATAGATAGAATTAAACGTCTGAGTGAATAAACATTATTTCGAAAAGGAGAAACTATCAATATTCTTAACTGGTATCTGTGTAGCAGCAGAATACAAAAAGGAAAGTATTAGAAATATCTTGCCAAAAGCAGATCAAATCTTTCAGTAAATCGATCTTTTTGGCATTCCTATTAATCAAAACTTCACAAATGTTAGATAGCCATTTCCACTCAACAATTGCCATGAAAATCTACAAGTTCAATTCATCAGACACAAGTACACATAAACATTATATACATCCATAGTCAGAAGCCAATGTCAAAACTTTCCTAGAACTTCAGCCCTTATGGGTTGCTTGCACAAGCAGATCCAAAGTATATAGTCAATTGACAACCAAGAAATAAAGCTGAAACTGTGATTATAAAACCTACCACCTTCTGATTTTGGATTTTAAGTCAACCAGACCCCACCCCCCAACAAAATAATCTTTTTCTACTCAAATTGCCCCCTCCTTTCTGCTTCCCTGAAATTTCAGTACAAGTTCCATCTTCTCAAAGAAACCTCCCATGCTCCTTCTGAGAGGACTGTGGTCTTTCTTCCTTTCTGCACCCCACAGTACTGTTTATACCTAACATTTAATATACATTTATGTCTATGGGTTTGTCTGTCTATACATATTTCAGGACACATTGCACCTCCACACCCAGGCCTTCTAAGATCCCCAAAGATGGGGTTTTGCCTTGAATTCTTTTGAGCCCACCAAATCCTTAGCATTATTCATTGCACAGGTGAATGGCAATATTTTTATTGTCACTTTTTAAAAGTTTGGTTTTATCATGCAAGCTAAGAGCTGTTTTCATACAAAAGGAGCATCTGTGAAATATTACTTTAATTCACAACCATAAAATTTGGAAATATAAAAAGTAAAAGAGTTGGGAAATTTCAAGAAATTCTGTAGCTTTATAGAGTAGATACAGAGTGGAAGTATGCTTTAATAAAAATATATTAGCATCTTCAAATAGTGAGGGATGCATTTAAACTGCATTAAAATTATATTCAAAATCAGGAAACTTGATTAGGATTCTCCCAAAGGCTTCATACACTGAAACCAGAGATTTATTATACCAGGGAAAGAAGGCTCAATTTAAAAAAAAAATTCATCTTATTAAATTAGCCAACATGCAGCACTTCCCGGAAGGCAGAGGAAAACAGGCTTTCAAGCCAATAGAAGCTGAGTTTGTGCCTCAAGTCTTCCGCGCCTGCCTGGGCACCGCTCCCCAGGGCTGAGGTAATTCAGCCCACAGCAATCCAGAGGAAAGATCAGAGGGGAACCTGCGAGGCTGAGCAGCGACCACTGGCTAGGTTGGCTGCGTCTTCCCCTCCGGTTCCGAAGGGAGGAATGCTGGGGCTGTTCCTCGCACCCTCTGGGTTTTCCTCTCATCAGGGCGAGACTTGGTTGCCAAACCTAAGGTTTAAGCAACCGGACACACACCATTAGCTGCAATCCCGGTGCTCAGAGGATTCTAGTTTCAGGACCGGTTCCTGCTAGGGAATTAGGCTTTGGGATCCAGTCACCGCATCCCTATTCCCTGAAAAACTTTGCATCCTTCTCCAAATAGGAATTCCTATCAAGTAGGAAGTAGCCCACTCCACCCCAGCTGGTCCACTTCCCATTCCAACCTCCGAGAACGGCACCTACTCACGGCGCCTCCCAGCCCCGGGAAAGGGGAAGGCTCAGGTGTGAGGGATCCCCAGGCTGAGTGGCGGGCAGGCTGGCCGGCAAGCAGTCACCTTGTGGTCCGCAACGCCAAGGTATCCGTCCAGCGGCCGCGGTCCCGCGGGGGCTACAAGGCGCGGCTGGGGGCTGCTCTCCGCCGCCTGCTGCGCGCTGCTGGTCACGGGCGCCTGTTGTTGCTGCTGCTGCGGGGGCCGCTCCTTCTGGCCGCCGAGGCTGCTGTACACGAGCAACAAGCTGGTGCACATGGTGGTGAGCGCTAAACACACTGCCAGACCATGGCGCTGCGGGCGGGCGGGAGAAAGAAGAGAACAGCTGAGTGTGGACCCGGGAAGAAGGTGCCCCGCGGGGACACGGGTACAGCGGTCCCGCCGGCGGGGGAGCTCCACCCGCGGGGGGTGGCCGGGGTCCCAGCTCCCCTGCGCGCAGCCAGGGCAGAAGAGGCATCTTCCCAGCGAGTACGGCAGGGAATGCTCCCTGCGCGTCGCTGCTCTCGGCCGCCGATGCAGCCCCGATCTCTCGGTAGAGGGCAGGTAGTGCGCTGCACCCAGCTGAGGGAGGGAGAGCGCGCCCGCGGCGAGGGCATGGGTGGGTTTGCACTTTGGGGAGGGGACCCTCTGCCACAGCCAGGCTGCTGGAATCTTTAGTGCGTGCACGCCCTCTTTCCTGGGCCCCTGGGGCTCTACCCCTGAGATCCTTGCAAGTTTGAAATCCGGCAAGGAAACCAAGAAAGTCTGCAAAGGTCCCCCCTCCCCGCCCCTCTTCGTATTTGTCAGACTGTTGCTTTTGGGCATCCCCCTGCCCTAGAGCAATCTCCCCACTTGTTCACCGCTCCTCCAGCTCTCCGCCGGCCCCTCGGACTACTCGCTGGAGATTCGGGAGCCGAGGCAACCCGAGTACTCCTCCCGGATTCTGAGCCAGGCAAAGCCTGGGAATCAGAAGGGGGCGCGGAGCAGGTGGAAAGTTGTCCCTTTGTAACAGGCGACCTCGCGACACAGGTTTAGGCACCGCTCGCGTCTCTCTGGTGCACCCTGGGTACGGTGAGCTTGAGGGTTCTCGCTTCTGCCCAGCAGAGTTGCAACAACTGACTCACCATCAGGGTCTTCATTTTGGGCACCTCTTTTGTGCGGAATCCTCAGGCACGCGCGTCCGGGGCCACTTTTTCTTGGAGGGTTTCCATGGTGGGTGACAGAGCAGAGGCGGATCCGATTTTTGCCCGGCAGCTGGCCGCGGCTGAGCGAGTGCGGGAGCCGCGGGACCCGGGAAGCGCTGCTGTTGCAGAGATTAGAGACAGAATTAAAACTGAACCGGACCCTCGTAGTCTCTCAGTGATCTACACAACTGCCGCCTGCCGCCGCCTGCTGGGTCCTAAAGACCTCATCATACCCCCACCCCGCCCCCAAATAGTAATCTTTTCAGCTGACTGAAATTTCTGGGGCGAGAGAGTTAACCTTGTCGCTGTACCCCCTTCTTGGTTCAAGGACTTATTTATTTTTTATGAAGTCAACAAACAAAAAGGAAGGGGATCCCAATTGGATCTTGAATGTGATAGCGATTTGAAAATTTGCAAACTAAATTTCATGTTTTGTGATTTTGATAAAAACAAGTCAAAGCCCTATTTATATAGCTTTTGCATTGTATGTTCACGGCCTGGAGAAATCTATCATGAGATTGTTTTTCCTAAACTATTGTATTATTTCAGTTTTCCAGTTGTTCTAATTTACTCTTACCCCTTAGTTTTACTTTTCCATATTTATGCAATTCTCATGCAATCTTTAGATCATAATATTTCATTTAAATTATGTCATTCATTATTTGCTTCAAAGATTAACATTTATATTTCCACCTGATCTTTGAGGTTCCTAATGTTCATCTAAGTGATTTTAAAGTTTTTTCTTTTTTTTAACATTTGGCACATCTTATTCATGTGATTAACTGAACCTGTAGATTCTTCCTAATTTTAATGAAGAATTTCTGGCTTCTAGAGATGGAACTGCTATGGTTTATTTCATAAGAATCCTAATGAATTTGGTTCTTTCGTGGTGTTGCCTGTTGATCTGAAAGGGCATGATTTCACATTCAGAACTTTGATTAAAATTAAAAACATCATTATTGTTCAGTGTTGGGCAATTCACAATAGCCTGTTTAACAATACTCTCTTCCCTGCATTAAATTACAAGTGGCATTTGTTAAATGTCTAATTCAGCTAAAAACATATTTCTTGTTAAATTGCTCAGTGAAAATAGTTGTCTTAATGTGTTACTTAACACTTCACCTGTAGCAGTGTAATGTTAAAGATTACATTAAGATGGAAATGATCAACAGGCCAACTGAACCATGGGCACAATAAGAGCTTTCTCAAGGCCAAAAAAGGCATTACAATCCTTTTTTAATCTTCACTAATCTACTGCTGGACTGATGATACAACAGGAACTATTTTTAACTTATGAGGCATCCTTCCATACTTCATATTAAGAAAGCTAAAATGATTGGTTCAATAATGAATATCAGTGCAACTTGTTAGGGAGAGGGCAAAAAACCCATGTGATTTAGCCTTTCAAGGAAAAGCAAAAAAAAAAAAAAATTGAAAACACTGTCCAACATTGCCATCCTTGAAGCTATTTATTCAATTTGTGCTTTAGGCATGAATAGTACCAGTTGTTAGGGCAGGAAAAGCAGCAGCCAGAGGAGAATCTTATCGAGTCTTGGCAATTCTTTATTGTATGGTTGCACTTGACACTCAAATTAATGAAACAAAGGACCAACTTGATGAATCATTGCAAGCAGATTATCTGTGTTTCTCTAGGGTTCTTTTTGAGATGCTACTAGACACAGCTCTTGCATTTTTCAGGATTGTTCTCCCTCCATCTAGCAAGTTGCCCAGTGACCGATAAAACACTTCTAATATATTTTGCCATGCCAAACAGAGCCATCATATTTATGATTTAAACTCATGGCAGCACGTTGGACATCTGTTACACGATATGTTTGACCAAATTCATTAAGCTTATGCTTTTTCCCCCTCCTGGGATAGCAGTTAGTTACTTGCAAAATCTACTTATGAAATGGCCAGGATAAATTTAAAAATTTAACTCTGAGCTTCATTTGAATGACTTCAAAGTGTCTGACTTTCAAATGTTTTATTAGATTGATGCCACTATTTTAGGCATTCTGATCTGAGAGCCAAATGGACAAGGTCTGGTTGTGGGGGGGGCATATAAATAAAACAAATAAGACAAGTTAATTCAATTTGATGGTGATTTAATGATCACTTGTTACCTGATGAGTCTGCATTAGGGAACACAGAGATGAATAAAACACAGAGATTTTCAATCTCTGAGAGTTTAGAACCTACGGTGTGTGTGTGTGTGTGTGTGTGTGTGTGTCTAATGAGACAAGTCCATGAATAGGTAATTTCAGACAGAGTACTATAGATTCAGCATATATTTATCAAATACCTACTGTGTTAAGCATCTACTCTGTTAAGCACCTACTATGTGCCAGGCACTGGGAATTTCTATCTCTAAGGAATTCATAGTCTGTTCCCAGATAAGTACTATGAGCTTTTATATTATAAAGAACTAGGATCAATCAACTAGTTTGTTTGTTTTTCAACTTTAGACAGTCTGTTTATTTAAGATCTGAGAGGTTTGAGATTTCAAGGGCATCCATCTACATTTATGCAACTTTATGCACACCTTTAAGTTAATAATAATCTGAATAGCCAGAAACAGCAGAAAATAGGTAGGCAGCATTCACAAATACTTGATTGACTTGGAGACAAGCAGACAGGTAGACAAGTCAATGAAGCATTTTTAGTTAATCTAACTTGCACAGTTCAATACAAAATGAGTGGAGGAATCACAATTTGCTTCTCAAAACCCAAGTAGCTGAGATGGATTTCTCACCATTTAAAATTTTGCCACATTTCTGCCTCTGGTGCTATCACATCCAATCAAATAGTTTCCTATTTTTGAAGAAAAAAAAAGAAAGAAAGGAATAGAATTGAAAAGAAATTGAGTGTTCTACAATGTAGGTTATGTGATAAAATGAAGCTGCGAATTTATGAAACAAGGCATGTCATGGGGCGATGAGGGAACAGGTAGAACAGCTTGGAGGGAAGGCTAGGTTTGCACAAGGCCAGAACTATCAAGGGAGGAAGAAAGGGTTCTGGAAATCCAGGAGCCCTGCCCCAATTCTAAATTGACTAATAACTCAGAAACAAGCATTTAACAATTTCGAAGGTGGATGGAAAGCAGAAAACAACACAATGTAAACTAAATTTGAGATACAATTATTTTTCACCTTATAGTTGTAAAGAACAAGAAGGAAATTCTTCAAAACGCAACAAATAAAGACAGAAAATCCTAAAGCAAGTTCAATACTGTGTGTGTGTGTGTGTGTGTGTGTGTCCTGCAGTTTACTTAATTCTTTATTCTTTATTTCAGAGTTTAGGCCCAGTAGGCTGGTTGGTTGAGAATAAGTTCCTAGAATCAGGCTCCCAGGACTCAGATTTTGACCTTACCATTTACTATCTCTGTGACCTTGGGTACCTCACTGAGCTGTGCCTTAGTGTTCATGTACAAAATAGTACCTACTTCAAAGCATTGTTGGGAAGATTACTATAGGTACTATAGGTGATAGGTCTGGGCTGACACTAATAGATTGTTAGTAGTATCTTATGAGTACAATTAATAAACTGTGTTTCAAGGCAAAACACCAGGTCTTGAGCTTACCTAGGGCAAGGAATTTATAAATATATTCATCATTGTTAACTCTTCTACAAAATTGGTATAAGACAATCTATCCTGCAGATTGTTTACTTATTAAGGTCTTGTTTATGTGATTTCTTTGCAAAATGTAAAGTTTTGTATAAACTAAGGTCAACGTTTAGGATGGTGACAACTGAGCAGAGTTGTGAACCTATCTTGATCAGTGATCCTATCCTGAGGAAGGGCATTCTATGCAAAAGGAATAGCTAATGCAAAGGCCATGATGTAAGGAAGGGCTTGCTGGTCATGGTGGGGGGGCATAAAAGAGGCTGAACTGGTTGGAATACATGGGGCAGGAGGGAAAGTGCAAGGGAAATGGGATGGAGGAATAGCCTAGGTCCAGATGGTTTGGCCCTTGTCAGCCATGAAACAATGTGCAGGAAACCCAACAGAGGGTTCAATGCAGGTAATGGATTCTTGATGTTTTAGAAAGATTGCATGGATTTTGTGCTAAAATTAGCTTTGGGGAAAGCAAGAGTGGCAAAAGGGAGACCCATTAGGCTACTGCAGTAGTCTAGGTAAGAAGAGATCATCATGCTTTAAGAAATGACTGAACTCAGTATTTGTTGATTACTGGGTATGAGATACAAGTAAAGAGGCAAAGAACAGTGCAACTGAAAGGATATGACGTTGGGCAACTGGAAGGATATGGCATGGCTGTATTTCCAAGGTAGGGAGTCCTGTTGGAGAAGCAGGTGTTGGGGGCCAGAGGTGGAGAATTTGTATTTAGAAGTAACATCATTTAGAAGTGACACCTCAGTGTGCGATGTCATGCCACAGAGTTCAGGCATGACGTTGGGCTGTGATACATGCCCTGGATATCACAAGCATGAAAGGATGTGAACTCCCCGAGTAAGCCAGGACACAGAAGAGAAGTCACAGGCCTGAGTTCTGGGTGCTTCAAATTTCAGATGCCAGGAAAAGGAGGTCTCCTGAATAGTAACCCTAACACTGAAAAACAACAAATGACTATCCAAACCTGCTATGATGTAGGTGGCTGATGATTTTCATTTTGAATGGTTTTTCCATGCCAATGCAGTTAATCACTTATGTTCTCAAAGCACTTTTTAAATTCTATTATCGTACCAAGCAGGTTTAGTCATGTTTATTTTTGTATTTATTGTTGATCCTTCCTTCTAACCTATAAATTTTTGAGAACCAGGACTATGTCCTATTACTGTTTATATCCACCATGCCTGGCGCAAACTGAGGAGGATAATATTAATCACTAACATTTATTTAGCCCTTACTGTGTGCCAACATTTTTCTAAAAGCTTCACATATATTAACTCATTTAGAGCCCATAGCAATTGCATGGGATAGATGTTATTACTATCTTCATTTCCCAAATGAGTGAATCCCAAGTCAGAGAGTCATTTGCCTCAAGTTACCCAGATCATATTAAGTATTGGGCTTAATAAATATTTGTTAAAACAAATAAATATCTCTTAAAGAATGAATGAATAGAAGCTTTGCAAGAGTTTTCACGGCCAAATTTTTCTCCTGAACTCTGAATTGGTCTGACTTACAAGAATGTGGTTAAAACCCAATCTTT